GAAAGGAACCATCAAACAGCAAGTAATTAAAAAAAAGAAAAAAGTACAGGACCTATAGCAGAAAATTAACATGACAAAGATAAGCCAATGCATATCAGTTATAACCATCAATGTAAATGGCCTCAATTCACCAATCAAAAGAAATAGATTAGCAGGGTGGATTGAGAAACAAAATCCAACAGTACATACAACAAACACATTTAACTCAAAATGAAATTCACAGACTAAAAGTCAAGGATGGAAAACAATCCTCCATGCCACAGGAAGTCGGAAAAGCAGGGATAGTGATCTTGGTTGCTCATAAAGTCAACCTCAAACCAAAAACCATTCAAAGATATTGAACTCGAGCTGGAAGAGGCGAGTCTGGTCTCAAAATGGGGTGCCATGATCCAAAGGAACCAGAGCAATCGAGGAAGCTGTTTATTGGTGGTCTGAGATTTGAAACTACCGATGATAGTTTAAGAGAAAACTTTGAGAAATAGGGCACACTCACAGATCGTGTGGTAATGAGACATCCTCAAACAAAACACTTCAGAAGTGATGGTTTTGTGACTTACTCTTGTGTTGAAGAGGTGGATGCACCAATGTGTGCTTGACCACACAAAGTTGATGGGCATGTAGTGGAACCAAAGAGAGCTGTTTCTAGACAGGATTCAGTAAAGCCTGGTGCCCATCTAACAATGAAAAAAAAATTGTTGGTGGTATTAAAGAAGATACAAAATAATATAATTTGAGAGACTACTTTGAAAAATATGGCAAGATTGAAACCATAGAAGTCATAGAAGATAGGCAGAGTGGGAAAAAGAGAGGATTTGCTTTTGTAACTTTTGATGATCATGACACAGTAGGTAAAATTGTTGTTCAGAAATACTACACTATTAAAGGGCATAATTGTGAAGTGAAAAAAGACCTTTCTAAACAAGAGATGCAGTCTGCTGGATCACAACGAGGCCATGGAGGTGGATCTGGCAACTTTATGGGTATGGATGAAACTTTGGAGGTGGTGGAGGGAATTTTGGCCGTGGTAGAAACTTTGGTGGAAGAGGAGGTGGCAGCAGAGTTAGTTATGGAGGAGGTGATGGTGGATACAATGGATTTGGAGGTCATAGTGAAACTATGATGGTGGTTCTATCTCACCCCAGAAAGAATGTCTAACATCAAGAAGTCAGTCAATAGCAAATGCTGGAGAGGCTGTGCAGAAAAATGACCCCTTCTTCACTGTTGGTGGGAGTGCAGACTGGTGCAATCACTATGGAAATCAGTGTGGAGATTCCTTAAAAAGCTAGGATTGGAGATACCATTTAAGCCAGCTGTAATCCTCCTGGATATTTTTCCAGAAGAACTGAAAACCTCACACCTCAGCGGTATATGTGTTCCCATGTTTATAGCAGCGCGATTTGTCATAGCTAAATCCTGGAAACAACCCAATTTCCAACAACTGAAGAATGGATAAAGAAGATGTGGTATTTTTACACAGTGAAGTATTATTCAGCTATAAAACAGGATAAATTTGAAGCTTTTGTCAGTAAATGGATGCAAATAGAGTACATACTCTTAAGTGAAATAAATCAGACCCACATGTGCAGACATCATATTGTCTCCTTAGTGTACTCTCTTTAAATATAAAAAGAATTATCATTTTCTAAGCTTTAAAAATATTTATCTTGTGTAGAATACAGTAAGTCCCTGACTTACATTCAAGCTTCCAACTTTCATGGGTGTACTGTGTGAAACTCACTCTGTTGGACATGATTGAGTTTGATTTATGAATGTTCTTCTGGAATGAAACTCATTTGTAAGAAAGGGACTTACTGTATTCATAGAGGTTAATTCTATGTGTGTACATGCATATGTGTGTGTCAGTGTCTATGGCTGGTTCTATGGGTCAAATTCAGGTTTATTGCCTTAAGCTACATATCCCCAGCCCTATTTACAGTATTTTTTTTTACTGTATTTTGAAACAGCATCTTGCTAAGATGCCAAAGATGCTTTCAAAGCTCAAGACTCTCTTGCTTCAATGTCCCAAGTGCTGGGATGAGAGGGGGAGCTAATTAGGTAATTAGTCGGGTGAGGCTAATTCTTTATTCACTTGAAACTCAGAATTGAGTTATAGTGGCATTCACCTGCAATCGCAGCACTCTGGGAAGTAGATGGAAGATGACTGAGAGTTTGAGGCTAGCTTGGGTAATTTGGAGCGACCTAATCCTAAGATAAAAACTAGGAAAGGGCTGGGGACATAGTGCGAAGGTCCTGGGTTCAATTCCCAGTACTACAAACAAACAACAAAAAAGAAGCTCAGCATTAACTCTGAATAAAAACCAACTGAGCAGTATCATAAGACCTGCCAACTCATTAAGAGCAAAGGAAGCTACTCAAAATCATTTATTGGGCTTTGTTTTCTTAACTGACTGTTATTGATGTTACTCCCTAGTCCCTCAACTCTTTGAGAAGCTAGTCTGCAGAAAGACTAATAGTCTTGAACAAATTTATATTCTCTGGACAGTTCCATAGTTGCTGCAGTCAGACACAATTTAATTAACTGGTAAATTCATTTGCTTGTTTGTCTAACAAATGAACTGCTTGGAACTTTAATTTGATAGCAGCCTCATTTTCATCTTTGAAACACTCTGTAGTTATGAAGGACTGTTTTAAATTTCCTTATTTTTCCGATCATTGATTTCCTGTGAGTTAAGGATATTGTGATAAATGCTTGGATCTTTAACATCTGTGTATATTGTACTCTTTCAGCCCAGCTCTAGTGCTGTTGTATAATAAATGTGATGGTTTGACATCTAATTCATTAACAAAACCCATGCTCCATTGGGACTTAACAGCAAAACACCCGAAGCCCTATTTTCTTGTTCTGACAAGAAAACATTTCAATGTAATGGGGGTGCACTGTGCTGTGGTTTAAATGTTTATGTCCTCTCCAGAATTCATGCTGGAACTCTATCCCCAAGGCAACAGTAATAGCTGGGCTGTTAAGCGTGATGCTCACAGTGGGCTTAGAGGCTTCCAGAGGGTTAGATGAAGAACAGGTCTTTCTGCCCTTGTGCCTTCTGGGTGGGGCAGTCAAGGACTCAGCACCTCTGGAAGAATAGACTAAGACACCCTGGCGACAAAACAGTAAAATAAGTTGTCATTGTCCAGTGGTGATACATGATTGGAAAGGTACCCAGTTGTAGCTTTGGAAAGCAATGGAAGCATGACACACAGTCTGTTGCAACAACTGACCTCCACAGATGTAATTCAAAAGTTGTCATAAATAAATGGATGATCACAGCTGTGTTCCAAAACAATTTATGAACACTAAAACTTAAATTTTGTATCATTTCCACATGACATTATTTGATTTTTTCCAGCCATTTAAAAATGTAAACCTTTTAAGAAAATGGAAAGATAAGTCACAAACTAGGAGAAAATATTTGCAAAATACCTATCTGATAAAGAACTGTTAGCCAAAATATACAAAGAGCTCTTAAAATTCAATAATAAAAGACAATTAAAAATGGATAAAAGTCCTGAACAGCTACTTTACCAACAAAGACAAACTGGTGGGAAACAATCCTATAAAAAGATGTTCAACATCAGACGCCATTAGGAAATCTCAAATTAAAACAGCAATAAGTTATCTCTCCACCCTATAGAAAATCCAAAACACAACTTCAGATGCTGGTGGGATGCACAGCAGCAGGAACTCTCAATCATGGCAGGAAGGCATGCCAGATGGGACAGTTACTTGGAAGACAAGTTGGCAGCTTCCTGCAAAACTCAACTTACCCTTACATTAGCAATCTCATTCCTTGGTATTTGCCCAAATGACTTAAAAATGTATGTTCATATAAAAGCATGTACATGCATGTTTATAGTAGCTCTATTCTTAATCACCAGCACTTGGAAGTGACCAAGATACCCTTGAGTAAGTGGACAGAGCTAAACTATGTTACAGCCATATAATGGAATATTGTTCTAGAAAGAAATGAGATGAGATAGTTCAGCAGTCTAAAGAGCATGCAGGGACCGTGGCTTGATCCCCAGCACTACATGCTGCATCAGCCTCACACCCAAGGGTGAGCTGAGTCAGCCGAGAGAGAGAGAGAGAGAGAGAGAGAAGAAAGAGGTGATCATGTCGTGGTGAGACTTGAAAGAAACTTAGATGTATATTGCTAGGTGAAAGTGGCTGAAGGGAAATCCATACTGTGTGATTACAGCTGGGTGAAATCCCAGAGACGGTGGCAGGAGAAATAGTGCTTTTCAGAGTCTTAGGTGGGTGGAGGAAGCAAGGAGGGATGCATAGGTGGGACACAGAGGGCTTGTAGATCAGTGACGCTTGCTCTGCATGGTGGTGGATAGATGTACATTTCTCAGAACTTGTGGTGTGTACAATACTTCAAATAATCCCTGTTGTTGACTTTGGACTGTAGTTAATACCAGTGAACCAGTATTGGTGCATCTGTTGGAGTGAATGCATCACATCAGGGTAAGACGCTAACAGAGAAAACTGAGGAACAGGGAAAAGGAGCAACTTGGGAACTCTATGTTCTGTCTTGTTTTTCTGTAAACCAAGCAAAGCTCTGAAACTATAAATTCTTATTTTGTATTTAGTGCAGGGTCTACAGGGTCTCACTACATAGATCAGACTTGTAGTGATCCTCCTGTTTTCAGCCTCCCAAGCGCTGGGATTACAGGTGCGTGCCACCATGCCCAGTCTCCAGTCTCATTCGCTGTCTCAGTGCGTCCCCGGGGGGGGGGCTGGCACGGCACACTGGGCATCGAACCCTGGCCACTGGGCTCTGGCTCCCTCCTTTTTTCTGCTTTCTTGACGGAGTTCACAACATTCGAGTGGGCAACAAGGCAACAAGGGTCAGTTGTACCCTTTGCATCTGTGAAATTCTAAGGCCGGCTGGCAACGTTGTCCACCAGTGGTCACAGAACCTTTATGTGCTGTTGGGCTTCGGAGAGCAGAGCCTGCCTTCACCTGCCCTCCTCCTTTCTGTAAGGTCATGGAAGAGATTGCTTCCCAGGAGAAAAATATCGCAGTTCTCGAAAAAGCCATCCTCGACCAAGAAGGACCTGCCAAGGTGGCTCACACGCGCCTAGAGACCAGGACTCACCGGCCCAATGTGGAGCTGTGTCGTGATGTTGCCCAATATCGGCTCATCAAGGAGGTTCATGAGATCAGTCACAATGTGGCAAGGTAGGCCAGTTGCCTGCAGCAAGGGGCTCCAAACCAGATGGGAAGCAGTGGTCAGCCAGTGGCCAGCGAGCGTGCAGCCTGCTCAGTGATGGGTGAGGCCAGCGTACTAAGTCCAGCCAAAGTTCTTGCCATGCAGAAAATGGGTCCCAATTCCTGGCATATTTCTGAAAAAGCCCAAATCCAAACATTTCGATAAAATCCGTAGTTTTAAACATTGTCATTTCATCGAGTTTTTTGTGTCATAGTTCTGCCTGTTGGCAATCAATCAGAAATCTATCTTAAAGGAGAGAAAAGGGCCGGCCAGATAGCTCAGTGAACTAAAGCGCCTGCCAGGGCCCAGGGTTCTGTCCCTCAGAGTGCCGTGGGCATGCTGAGATGGCGATTGAGACTGGGTGTGGTTGAGCACACCTGTAATCCCAGCAGTTGCGGGGGGGGGGGGGGGAGCTGAAAACGGGAGATTCACTGTGAGTCCAGTCTGTGTAGTGAGACCCTGCAGACCCTGTACTAAATACATTTTTTAAAAAAGAACAAAAGAGAGGCATACATATCAATCTAACTTCCTACCCAGGTAGACTCCCCCTCCCCCAAAAAAAGCTATGCAGAGAGAGAGAAATGCCCTGTATTCTTCTGGTTCCTCTAGATTGAAGGAAACTTTGGCTCAAGCTCAAGTAGAGCTGAAAGGGCTGAATCGCAGACAACTCGCCCTGCAAGAGGAGATCCAGGTTAAAGAGAACACCATCTACATTGACGAAGTGCTCTGCATGCAGATGCGCAAGTCCATCCCGCCGAGAGATGGGGAGGACAACAGGGACTGGGCGGGAGGCTTCCGCCCCGAGGCCGTCTGCTGAGGGTAGGGATGGGTCAGATGTGTGTTAATCCACTAAATAAACCAGCAGCACGGAATCTCAATTTAGGGAGGCAGAGTGGGTTTTTCACAACCTCTCAGCGAGATTCCAGGCCTGCTGGGTGCTGAGATCCAATCCTATGTATCAGCGCAGGCCCCCTTGTGCTGTCCCAGCTCCTGGGGTCAACGGAGAGATCTTTTCCAGTGGCGTGGCTGGGCTGGATCCTCCTATTCAGACCTGCCAGCTTACCCAGGAGACAGTATGCAAAGGTTTCTGCTGCTCAAAACCCCTTCTCCCTAGAAAACATAGTGACTTCTGGCTTAGACACCCTCACCTCTCCCGCTGGTCTAGGAGAAATCTTAAGTCTCACGAACAGGTGAAAGAGGGGCGGCCCTGGGTCGTGGACTCTGCTCCACAGTGATATGACGGGATGATAGGGTTGCAGCTCTTAAAAATTAAGTTTAGTGGTGGAGTTTAGAAGAGGGCAAGCCAGGGTGTGAGATCTGGGGTTACTGGGTAGCAGAGTCTGGGGGCGCTCTGGATCCCAGGCCAGAGGAGGGAGTCTGAGCGCAGCAGGGGGCCCTGTGCGCAGACCAGCACCTGGAACTTCCTCTTCCGGACCGCTAGCTTGGGAAAGAGGAGCCTGCGGGGGGGGGGGGGGGGGGGGGGGGGGGGGGGGGCGCTCCTACCCGCGGAGCTTGTCCGTTAGCGCCCCCGCGCGGCAAGAGTTTGAGATTTTTTTTTTTTTTTTTCTTTCACGGAAAGGAAACTCATTACAAGCCATTTTGAACAGTACCATCCCTGTGCCCGCATAATTTCTTCATGGTTGTATTCATGACATTTTTAGTTGCGTATGATAGGTTTTTTCCCCTCAATTGTAGGTTGTGAGCAGTTTTTCTGAAATCCCAATCTCATGGTTCTTTTCTCTGACATGAGCTCACTTACCAGCCTGTAATAGTTTCTTCCCTGGAAATCACACCCCAATTGACCCGTTGCTATATCATTATTTTAATGGTTATAAGCCTCTTTTAAAAGTTTTCACCAAGCCCATTTCCATATACTTGCAGTTTGTTTTCCAAAGAGAGCTTTGCTGATAGCTGGCTGCCTTCTGCTGAGTTGCAACATGCCTGGTGGCTGTTGGAGGAAGATCTTTGCTGAGAAACTGCCCATCCGTCCATCCATCCATCCATCCACTCATCCACCCATCCACCCATCCATCAACCCATCCATCAACCCATCCATCAACCCATCCATCAACCCATCCATCCATCCATCCATCCATCCATCCATCCACCCAGCCATCCATCTCTCCGTTCTGCCAATGATGAAGGAGCACCTCTCAAGTGGAGGGCTCACCCTCTTGGTGCTCTTCCATGTGTGATGCTCCCTAATGCTCACTGGACACCTACTGAGGAGGCACAGAATGAGCCAGAAGGTCAGGAGGCCTTGATTCTAGCTCTGACACTTCCAAGAATGTCCTCCTCCTCTTAGGTCACCTGTAGGGTAAGAGGATTGGACTAGATGGCCCCAAGCCCTTCCCATCTAGGATGTTGCCTAAAGTAGCTGTCTATCTCCATGTGCAGCATTGGGGGGCTGACCGACAATGCAGGATGTGGGCCTCACTCCTAGGAGGTTTAAAAGGTAAGTGTCCTCTGCTGTCAGTGAGGAGTGTTCCTAACCTAACAGGGAGAAATCCCTTTAGAAGCCAGCAGCATCAGCTTACTGCCCATTTGCACTTAGTGACCTGACCACCTGGGTTCTGAGCACTGTGTTCCGCAGCTCTGAGCAAGTATGCAGCCTTCCCATATCCTTTCCCCTGTGCTAGAGCCATTGGGAAATCTCTAGATGCTTTCCTCCTCTGTCCTGGAGTCAATCTAGGTCATTTTATAGATGGAGAAGCGCAGTATCGTGGGATGAATGCTTGTGTCCTTGCAAAATTCATATATTTAAATTTACCTCTTAGTGAGATAGTGTTAGGAAGTAGGCTCTTTGGAAGGTAATTAGAATTAGATAAGGCCATGAGGCTGGAGCCCTTCTGGATGGAATCATTGTCTTTAGAAGTGTCCTTGAAGCTCCTGTTTTTCTCTGCAATGCAAAAGACACAGCATGAAAGCATCACTATGAACAGGAAATGGGCTCTCACCTCATATCAAATCTGCTGGGTCTTTGAGTTTGGACTTCCCAGCCTCCAGAACTGTGAGACATAAGTGTTGTTTAAGGCACCAAGCCTATGGTGTTCTAAGACTCAGAGGTTTAGAGAGGAATGCGGAAAAGAATATTATGTCGTAGTTCACTGTGGGGTTTCAGAACTCCTGGCCCAAATCTCATGGTTCTTTTCTCTATGACATGAGCTCACTTCCCAGCCTATAATAGTTTCTTCCTGGGAAATCACACCCCAATTGACCTGCTCTGCCACTGTTTGTTGACTCAGTTAGCTTATTCTGAGTGTGTTTCCTGGGAATTAGGATTTTGAAATTGAGAAACATAGCCATGAGGAGTGACCAGAATACTGGGGGAAGGAGGGTCACAAACTCCTGTGGCTTCAGTCCCTCAAGATATTCTGTCTTCTCTTTCTATGAGCTGCCCTGATACAGTCACTTTCTTGGCTCAGACTCCTAGAAGTTCGTCTCTGCTTTTCTCTAAGAACCTTAAGCAATATATGTGGAAGGGAAAGCAGTGAGACCAGACGTGAGGACATTGCTTCTAAATGTACAGCAAGGCTGTAAGTAGGCAACAGGACCCTTCATCCTTCTTGTTTATTCAAACTCATGCGCAAAAGCCCCCAGACAGTACTCATATTTGTTCCACTGAGTCAGATATGAACTGTTGATGTAAGTTGGGCCAATGAGTTTTTTTCCTGAAGAATCTGGGCTTGGGGCAAGGCGACTTCAGTTTCACCTGGGTGCTGTCTTGACTAGTGATATAAGCTTTGGACATGCATGACACATCATCATATCTGTTATGTGAACACAACACAGAGAGCTAGTCGGGAGCAGGATCGAGAGGAAAAGTGGAAGCCAATACACCAAGACAAAGAGAAGAGAGAAGACAAAAAGACAAAAAGAAAGAACTCCCTGTCTTGCCCCTTCACAGCCCCAGGCTGCTTCTGAGGCCCCTGGGCTCTGTGAGACACTCAAGCATCCTTACACTGGATCCCACTTCTGTTCACTGACTCCCACTGGTTTTTCTGTGGCCCCCACCATAGAATGTTGTAACTCAAGCAGGCTAGGGATCTTGATGGGAGAAGCAGACAGAGAGGTGGAGTGGTAGTGCTGCTCCAGGTGGGATCTTAGTGGAGAAGTAGACATTGGCTTGGAGGAGGATTGACAGAACATTCCAGGTGGTGGCACAGCATACTCAAGGGATCTTAAAGAGCTTAATCTATTCCCAAAGAAGATGTAGGTACAGTGGGTCCCTATGAAGGATGGTATAATCTCAAAATCAAGGAGAGCTTTTTGTAACCTAAGACAAGTGTACTATTGATAATCTCAACAATGATCACATTGTGAATGCTTATAGTGAGTAATAGTGCGAACTGTCATATCTATTTTGCAGTTGGAGAAATCGAGACCTGATGGGGCCCCAAGCTTAGGATTCAGACTTGAGTATGCTAACTCTAACGCAAACACTTCTGAAACCACGATGCCTTTCTATTTAGTAGTGAAGAGAGATGCTATGTGGAGAAGCTGCTTACAGTGACTCAGTGTCAGATTTAGAGACTAAGTTTAAGGTTTCCAGATCCAACCTGAGACTTTAATACTTTATCTTGGGATGCCTTTCCTATGATGGTTTGGACTCTGTCTTCTGCCTCTGAGTCTTGAAGGGGATTGGAAACCGCAGATCCCAGGTGAATACCAAGAAAGGTTTCTCGTATGGAGAGCCACAGTCAGTGACTCAGCTCCCCAAATGCAGAAGAGAATAGGTATGGGAAAGTATGAACTCAGTCCTGTGAGCTGATTTGGTTTGTGGCTTTCCTAACCACCCTGCCTATGAAGGTACTCATTGTACTTGACTATGGCTTTGGAGATGTATTTATTAGTACTCTCCTGCCCATGCCCTGATGGCTAGCCACACCCAGAGCCCAAGGTAGAACAACAGGTTCCTCTGTTGGCTGCTCAGCCCAAGGTCTCCCTTGCCCACTTCCATGAGCAAAACTCATTCTCAGCCCCCCTTGTACCTGGGAGGTGGCTATGAAACTAAGTTTTGGCCAAGGAGGAGAGCAGAAGCTGGTGGGGGATTCTAGGAAAGACTTCCACTAGTGTTCTGTCCCTTCCTTCCCTTTGTCCTTGATAATGGCTAAGACCTTGGAGACCACAACCATCTTTGGAGATCATGGGGGAAAGAGAATCAAATTCAAGAGAAACATAAAGATTCTGATGCTAACCCTGAGGAGTTCCAAAGCAAACCAGCAATCAGTTAACTTTAGACTCTTCATTAGGGGGGAAATAAGTGCTTTATTGTTTAAGTCACAGTTGAGTCTGCAGATTCTTACACTGGGATGTCTCCTGACAATCACACAATTTCCTAGCCTTAAGGGCAGTCAGCTTCTTGAGAGATATCTTCTCTGTCTCTCTCTGTCTCTGTGTCTCTGTCTCTCTCTCTGTGTCTCTGTCTCT